GAATATTTCTAATTTTTACATTAAAAATACACCATTTTCATTCTTTTCTTCTTTTATCATCTCTTTGTGATTTATTATTTTTATATTCTTCTTCGACTTTCTTTTTATTCTTTTATATATTTATATTCCTTTTCTATTATTTCTTTTTTTCGTTGTTGTTTATTTTTGTTTCTTGTATTATTTATCAATATTGTTTTCATTTATTCATTATTTTTATTTCTTTTTTATTAATTCTTGAGTATTGTATATTTATTTAATATTTCATTTGTGTATTATCAAAATATATGTTTTATTGAATTTATGTTGAACAAAATATTGAATAAATCAATATTTTCATTCTTAATTATTCATTCTTTATTATTAAATGTTGTGTATATTTATTATATTAAATGAATATGATGAATGAATATCAATATTATTGTTTATTTGATTTTAAAAAATAATAAATGAATATGAAATAATATAATGAAATAATGAAGACAATGAAATGATAATGAAATAGAATAATCTAATATTGAGCAAATCAAATAAAGAATATATTGAATATATCATTATTGTTACATTATTATTTATTATTTCAATTATTAAATATTAATAAATTATTATTCATGAATATTTAATTGATATTTTATAATTTCATTTTCATTTTATTTAATAAATGAAATATAAATAATAAATGAATGAATAATAATTTAATATATGAAATAATAAAAAGAAAAGATAAATAATAAAGAAATATGATGTATTTAATACATAATATAAATTATTATCAAATATAATAATAATATCAAATGATGAATTATTTTTATTTCAAAATATTTTGCATCAATAAAATATGTTGCTAAATATTTTGCATCTTTTATTTCTTCTTTCTTTTCTTCTTTTATCATCTCTTTTGTTTTATTACACTTTATCTTCTTTATTTTTATCTTCTCTCATTTCTACTTTTATTCTTTCATCTTCTTCTACTTCTTACTTTATTTTTATTCTTTTATATCTTTCTTTCTCTTCTTTTTCAATTATTTGCTTTTTTTCGTTGCCGAAATAGTGCATAAAAATATAATAGAAACAATAGAAGCAATAGGAATGGAAGTTAATGTAAATAAAAGTGGAGTAATGAAGAAAAGAAATATAGAAATACCAGATAATATGAAAGACATTCCAATAATAGACTCAGAACATCCATATAAGTATTTAGGTGTATATCAATTCACAAGAAATGATGATTTGGGATGTATTGAAAGAATAAGTAAAAGTGTAGAAGAAGGAATAAAAGAAATCAATAAATGGAATGACAGTAGTATGAATTATATTAACTGAATTAATACAGAAATAATTCCTAAGTTCACATATAGTGCATCTGTAGTTAAATAACCAATTATGAAGCTGATAGAAATAGATAAAATGATAAGGAGAGAAATGAAAGAAGGAAAGATTATTGGAGCATGAATGTGTAGTAGCAGATTATAAGTAAACAGAAATAAAATGGGAGATGGAATGAAAAACATTAGAGATGAATATGCAATTGAATTAATAAGAACTATTTTGTATTACACATAGAAAAGAGGAAATAGAATAGGAGACATGATAGTAATAAATGAAAAGAAGAATGGAATGTGGAATAGATTGTATAAAGCATGTGGAAAAAGAATAAACAAAGAAGAATTTAGAAAAATAGTAACAGAAGAAAGAAGAAAATGGGATAAAAACAGAATAATTAAGTATGTGAGAGAAAAGTTTCAAGAAGAATATATCAATAAAAGGAGAAACAAGAAAGTAAGTAGTGAAATATTGAAAGGATTTGAAGATAAAACGATGGAACAGAAGAAAACAATTAAAGTATGGAAAGTAATTAATGTTATAAGAAAAGCATATATACAAATAAAGAAGATGGAAGAGAAAGCAAGAAATGAAGGAGTAAGGAAAGCATTAATGAAACATGATATGAGATATGCAATATGTCCAATATGTAATAAAATAGCAACAATAGATCATATTCTTTTAAATTGTATAATCACTAAGAAAACACAAATGAATAAACATGATAGAATAGGAGAATACATATTGAGGAGTTTAAAGATTAAATACCAATTATATGAAAACAAAGAAAAGATGAAGAAGAGAGAAGAAGAAAATACAAAAAATTAATAATAAGGAAAGAAGAATTAGGAAAGAATGAAAGAAGAATAGAGAAAGATAAAATACTTATAGTTTAGAATCAAGAAATAGTAAACAGAAGTGAAGGAAAATTCCATAAAAGAATAGATATTTATGTCAGAGACTTAAATAAGAAAGAAGCAATGATTATAGATATGAGAATAGTAAGAGATAAAAACATAAATAAAGCATTTACAGATAAGATTAATATGTATTCAAAACTACACGAACATATAAGAAAGATAGAAAGATTAGTGAGAGTAATAGTTATACCAGTAGTAATAACAGTGAGTTGATTAATAAACAAAGAAACAGTTAGATTACTAAATGCCGAAGGGATAGAAATACCAAGGGAAATAATGACAAGAGAGAATGTAATATCAAATATGAAAGATATTATGAGATACTGTGGAGATCATTCTGGAGAATACAACAATGTAAAAGTACCAGAAGAAGAAGACTCTCGGGAGAGTGAAGGAAGGGAATAAATTCTCACCTGAACAATAAGTTGAAAGTTATTAAAACTTAATTTAATTTATTATTATTTATTATTTTATTTTCTCTTGTTTTTTCAATATTTCTTCAATAATACTCTCTATTTGTTTCTTCTCTATACTCTTTTTTATTTCTTTTTATTTGTATTATTATTCGTTTATGTAACTTATTCATTTAATTGTTGAATATTTATTAATATCTAGTAAGTATTTGTTTCTATTTTAAATCATATTTTATTAACAAACGTTCCTTTCTTAATTTTATATGAATTTTCAAGGATTATTTATTTGATTATTGATGTAATTCATAAATATATTTCATTTTGATATAACTGAATGAGATAAATATGTTATTCATTGTTTATTTTAATTATATGTCATTCTTTAATTTTGATATTATATTATAAATTCGTCTATTCTCTCATCTATTTTCTTTATCTCTATTATTTCTTTTTATTCTTGATGTTCTCTATTTTATTTATATTACTTATCTCTTTTTCAACTTCAATAAATTCATTCATCTTTTAATTTGGTTATGTCGTTTCATTTGTCTGTAAATTAACTTCTTTATTTCTAATTGTTTTCTAGAATTAAAATTAAACCATTTAATAATGAATTAAAGTTACCATGAATTAATTATTATTTTAATATTTTATTTAGATAATTTATTTGATAAACAAATTTTACATTAATTGTTGTTGATTTAATATTTTTTCTATTAACCGTTGTTATTACCATATAATAACTAAAAAAAAAGAATTTTAAGTTTAAAGAACAAATAGATGATTTCAAAAAGTGAAAAACAAAAGACTGGTGAATTAGTGTGGAATGATATGAAAAAAATTAATTCTGAACTTCTTACAATGACATATGGAGGTATTGTTCTTCAACTATTAAAAGAAAATGAGTTTGATGGAGAAAAAGTGAATAATGAATTAGACGAGATGGGGTATAATATTGGAACAAGAATAGTTGAAGAATATCTTGCTAAAGTAGAAGGTAAAATGTCAACCAAATGTCTTTCATTTAAAGAACATATTGAGTCAATTACTTATGTTGCATTTAAAATGTTTTTAGGTATTAATGCAGAATGTTATGAAGTAAATGAAAAACAATGGAAAATTAGTATTCCAAATAATCCATTAAGTGAATGTGTTGAACTTCCAGAAAAATTAAAGAACAAATTATGGTATAGTAATATTTATTGTGGCATTATTCGTGGTTCATTAGAAATGTTAAAATATAAAGTTGAATGCAAATTTATTGGAGATATTTTAAGAGGAAATTCCACTACTGAAATAGAAGTGACATTAATTGATCTTCTTGAGCAAGCGAAATACGTAAATTATAATGAATAATTTATTCTTTAAAATAATTATTATTATGGTTAAATTTACTATATTTTATTACCAACCCTGAATACGATAATAATAAATTACTAGTAAAAAAATAGAATGAAAATAGTATTAATCGTCCAACACAACCATTTCAATTTAGTTCATTTTAGCAATGAGCTTGTTAATAAGTAATTCACGATTTCCAAATCCTCCTCCAAGAATAAAATGAATCTTCTTATTCTTTTCAGCAATTTTAGCACCATTTAATTTGAATGGAGCAAGTTTATTATTAACTTCTTTAAAATGTTTTCCAACTGTGTAAATTTCATGAATAAGATCATCAGCACAAACAATATCTTTGTCTCCAAGAGCTTTCTTAATCATACAGTTAGAAGTAATTGGCATTCTATTTCCATTGATCTTAAGTGCTCCACGTTTGTAAATGAGTTTTTGGACAGTTTCTAAAGTTGGATAACCATAAGTAACATATGGATCAACAAGTCTTAACATCTTAATGGTTGAAGCATTGGCTTTAATAAAGACAGCATTGTTAATTTGTCTTAATCTAAGAAGTTTAAGAATTTTCTTAATTTTTGGTGAAACTCCATTAATACCTCTAATTCTAATAGCAACAATTAATTTTGGATCAGCTTCAGCGTACAAATCACCATTAATTTCTGCATTCTTCTTAGCAAGATAGACAGCTTTCTTAGCAGCTTCAATATCTTTATGATTTTGAATAGTTCTTTTGATAACTTCTGCTCTGAATGCTTGACATCTAGCTTTACATGGGCAAACAGTTTTTGTACAATTTTCTCTTTGAACGGCTGTGGCGACTTTAGCACTCATCTCCAACAATCCCTTAAAAACCCAGAAATTTATGAGTTCTCTGGGTTTGATTTTAGAATAGTAAATTTTAATTTACTTAATTATAATTTTTATTATTTATGTTTCAAAAATTTTTTTATTTCAGAGTCATAAATGAACAATACTTTGTGTTTTCAGATTTAAATTATTCAATTTTAACAATACCTTCTTTTAATGTTAATTCTAATACAGAACTTCCTTTGCAAAAGACTTCACCTAATTTTCTTGTTGTTTTTAGTGATGTATTTTTATCATTTTCGTTAATGTGTTGGATGGCATTAGTTAAAAATAAATTGAAGCGGTCGTCATAGTTTTGTAATATTCCTTCGACTATAATTCATAAGTACTTAAGAAATACATATTTTTATTATTTACACAAAGTTACCTTGAGTTAAAATGTAAATTAAATAAAGCTTCAAACTTTCTTTTCCATCATTAAATTGGACAATAACCTCTTTTTCAATATATGAACCAAGATCAGATAAAGTGGTATATCTATTATATTTGGACATTTGTTTTTCTTTGTTAAAATTTTTAGATTTTGTGTTTTTTATTTAATTATTTTTTAGAAATCATTTTAAGATTAATTTTCATATTCTTTTATTCTTTTGTAATAAATGTGGTTGCTTAAAAGTTGTATTATCTTTTTTATTTTATTATTTTTTAGTCAATTTTGAGATCCTTTTCCAATGCAGGAAATACAACAAATTTTAATGCTATGGCTATTGTGTAAAACCTTAGAGTCTTGTAAAGAAAAGCAAACAAGACATAGAAATCCAAGGTCATACAATAAAAAAAGAAATGTCAATAGCAATAAATGGCATAACAATTATAATAATAAAGGTAAACGATACACCAAGGAAAAAGGGTTTAGAAGACGAAAGACACAAAGAAAAACAAATAAAAAACAAGGTAAATACAATAATAATAAAGATTATACAAATAACAAATACAAATGGCTAACAATAAATGAGATACAAGAAAGAATAAAAAGAATAACAAGTGAATGGAAAGAAGGAGAATACGAAGAAATACTTAAAAAATATGAAGGTAAGAAGAAAAAATGGTATGATATCCTCCAAGAAGTATATTCAATTAAAAAGAAAAAGATAATTGAAAAGACGAAAGAAGAGTTTAAAGAAAAAACAAAAGATTGGGAAGAAAAAGACATTAAGGCTATAGAAGCAGAAATTAAAAACAAAAACCCAATTAAAGAAATGAATGATAGATGTAAAATTGCAAGAATAATAAATGAAACAGAAAGTATAATGAAAATACAAGAAGAAACAAAAAATAAAGAAGAAAAGATAGAAGAAGAAAAAGATAAAGAAGAAATACTTGCACTTAAAAATCAAATTACTGAATTAAAAGAAAAAGTTAAAGAATTCAGCATGGAAAAAATGGAAGAAGAACAAGCGATTTCAGAAGAAATGATGAAAAAAGCAAAAGAAATAGTTAAAAAAGAATTTGAAGAAGAAATTACAGAAATGAAAACACAAAATAGAAAGATTCAAACGAATTATGAAGAAATGAAGAAAGAAAATGAAAAATTAGAAGAAGAAAACTTAAAATTACAAGGAAAAATAAATGAGATAGAAGGAAAGAAAATCACAGAAGTAAATAATAAAGAAGAAAAAATCCGAAGTATCCAAGCTAATAAAAAGAAGATTGAAAAAGAAAATGAAGAAATGAAAGAAGAAATTGAAAAGTTGAAAAAGAGAAACAAAACGCTAGAACAAAATGCAAACACACTAGAAAAGAAAATTGAAATGATAGAGGAAAATACTAAAGAATTAAAGAAAGAAATAAGAGATAAAGAAAAACAAATCTCTGAATAACAAGAAATTGCAATTAAAAACCAAGAAATTGTAGAAATAACACGAGAAGAATTAGACAACACACAAAAAGAAAATGAGACACAAAAACAAATAATATCAAAACAACAAGATGATATTCAAAATTTTATCTCACAGAAGGAATTAGAGAAGAAGAAAACGATGACACTTGTGATAAATACACAACCAGTAATGAGGAAAACATCATCAGGAACAATGGAGATGAACGAAACTACTCCTATGAAAAAGACAGTAGTGGAAATCGAAGAGGAAAGCAAAGCAATGATTGTCAAAAAACAGGAGATGATAATCAGACAAGAAATACAACAAAACAAAGAAATAGAATTTTAATTGAAGTATTGTATTGTTTTGCAATTAATTGATTAAATAAGAAATTATATAAGAAAATAAGAAATGAACAAATAGAAAGCATTATAAAAGCAATAAATATCAATGTCAATAATGAAAATGAATATATTAAATATATTAAAATATCACATAAAATAAAAGAAAATACTAAACAATACATTAAAGTGAAAATAAATGATATAATAGAAGAGTAGAGTTTAATTCAATAATAAAAACATCATATTAAAGAATAACTCTACAGAAATTGATGAAGAATATCTTAACACTCTCATCAATAAAATAAAAGAAATGAAAGTAGAAAAATGTACAAACATTAATTACTACTGGAAAAGAAAAGAAACTGACCGATTAATAATGGAAATTAATAATAGATGGATATGGTCAGGAAGCAGAATGCAGGATCTGCAAGATGATATGAATATTTCAATGACTATTCACCTCTATCTCCAAAATAAAATAATAAGAGATAAATTTGATGAAATTAAAGAAATCCTAAAGAAAATAAATAGACTAGAAGATTTGGTCAAGGGAAGGAAATGGTACAGAATAAAGTGCATCATGAAATTAAAAGAAAATGATGAAGAAGGAATAAAAGTCAAAGCACTAGAAAGAATAAAATACCTAAAATATATGATGAGAATGATCAAAGAAAGAATTAAATTTAATAAAGATGAAATAATCAGAATCAATACAAATAAAATCATGTTTGATTCTAACAAGAAAATTAGAATAAAGAAGAAAGACCCAAAAAACGAAATATACCCAAATAACGATATTACTTTAGAATATTGGAAATCGTTATATGAAACACATGTGATATTAAATAAAAATAATTGGAAAATAAAACAAATCATCTCGTGGAATGATAGCTACAGAAATTATGATAGTGTCATTATAACAATAAATGAATTAAATTTAAGTATAATGAGAATAAATAACTGGAAAGCACCAGGAATAGACACTATATATGGTATTATTTGAAAAGAATGTTATCATCAAGAGAAATCATTCTTAGTATCTTCAATGAATGGTTGAACTTCATTCAAAACATCCCATTAGACATGGTAAGTGGAAGAACTTTATTAATCCACAAAGTGATAGGAACGACGTCACTAATTATCGTCTTATCAGTTGTACAAATGTAATTATGAAAGTATTTACCTCCATATTAAAAGAAAAGATTCACAGAAGACTTAACATGAATTGTGAATCATTTAAAATCAGTAGTAATCAACTGGGATGTAAGTTACAATCTTTAGCTGCTAAAGAATGAATAATTAATAGTTATATGTTAAAGCAGCAGAAAGAAGAGAAATACCCAAAATATGTGGAGTCATATTATGACATTAAAAAAGCATATGACACAGTAAACCACGAATGGGTAATTGAATCATTAAAGTATTTTAATTATGATGGAGTCATCATTGACATTATTGAAAGTATGATGACTAGATGGAAGATATTCATCGGTTATAAATTTAATGAATATCTATGATGTATTAAATTAAATAGAGGAATTTTACAAATGATTCATTATCAAATCTACTCTATTCATCATTCAGATGAATGTAATTTCTCAAATCATCGAAGAGAAATTCCCAAAAGCAAATCACACATTATATATGGATTAAATGAGAATAATGACAGAAAGTAATGAAGAAATAGGAATAATCCACAATGAAATTAAAGAAATAATAAGTGGAATAGGGATGGAAATGAATGAGAATAAATCATGAATGGTATTAAAAAACATTAAAGAAATACCAAATGGAATGCAAAACATCCCCGTAGTTGAATTTGATGACTTGTATAAATATTTAGGAATATGGCAGTCCGATGAAATTGATGACACCTTCAATTGTAAAACCATCAAAGAAAAAATGATGAAAAAGATGGAAGAAATAAACACTGATGAATGTAGTAATAGAAGATATATTACTAGAATAAACACTGAAGTAATCCCTATCTTCAGATATTCAGCATCAGTTGTAAATTGGAAAGTCACTGACCTAGACAAAATGGATTTGGAGATAAGAAAATACTTAAGAAAGGCAAAATACATTGGTGAAACTCCAAAGATAGGTTATATGTCCCTCTAGAAGAAATGGGTGAATGATTAATAAATATAAGTGACGAATATGTTAATGAATTAATTAGAACAGTGATGTACTACTGTACCAGAGAAAGTGAAATAGGAAATAACATATTAGATAGATGGTACAGTAAGAAGGGAATATGGAATAGAATTAAAAAAGCCCTAGGTCATAAAATCCCAGAAACAAAAATAGAAGAAATAATAAATGAAGGGATTGAAAATAAAAAAGAAAAAGAAGTAGTAGTAGAAATAAAAAATTATTGACAAATACATCAAAAAATGGAAGTGTCATCAAATTAGTAGACACTTCAGAAGATGGTTCGAGTCAAAAGGAGTAGATAAAACTACTACAGTGAAAGCATGGAAGTCCATCAATATTAAAAAAAATGCATTTCTTCAATTAACTAAAATGCAAGATGGTGCAATATTTTGTGGGTATAAGAAAGCAAAAATAATGAAAAATGAAAGATTGAAATACTGCACACTTTGTAAAGACAAGATAGCAACAGTAGAGCACATTCTACTATCTTGTATTTATCATAATAAATCACAAATGGAAAAACATGACAATATTGGCATTATCATATTGATTAATAAGAAAATATACATTCAATATTCAATATAAAAACTCCATATGAAACAATGTTCAAATATAAAGACATCACAATGATATGGAACAAATAAATAATGCCTAAAAGTGAATGACAATATCACAAAAGACCAGACATATATGTATTAGATAAAAAGAACAAAACTGGTCTAATATTTGATATGACTATTGTGGCTGATCACAATATTAATGGAGCCTATTGGAAAAAAAGAAATATGTATAAGGAATTAAAGAATAGGCTAATGAAAATAGAGAAAATAAAAGATGTCAAAATAATTCCAGTAGTAATCTCAATTAATGGATTAATGAATAAAGAAAGTAATAAATTAATTAAAGAATTAAAAATTGAGATCGACATCGAGAAAGAAATTAAAAACCTTGTAATAAAAAACATGATGGATGTCATGGAATACTGCGGAGATCACAATCAAACATACTCCGTAGAGCTACTAGAAGAAGATGAAGACGAATGGATGGGATTAGTCTCCCCTGAGCCAGGAAGAATAGAAGCTAGTTCTATTAATACTTAATTAATTGCTTTTTAATTATTTTTTAGTCAATTTTTATTAAGACTTCTTTCCAAGAAAACTTATGAATACTAATTCATTTTTAATTAATTACCTTTTTTATCTCTCAAATTTTTTGAAAAGTCTGTTTGTACCTATCTTCTCTGTCCAAATAAAACCTAAAAACAACAATAAGTGCATAACTATTCTTTTAGTTTCTTACCAACGTTTAAAAGTATTCATACATTGGGTGATAGAAATTGAATGGGTAGCGGCCAACTCCATAATATGGAATGCCATAATATCCATATCCATTACCAAAAATGTCATCATAGAATAATCCATCATCTTCTAATTCATATTCGTCTTCATCATCATCTTCATCATCTTCATCATCTAATTCATCTTCTAATTCATATTCGTCGTCTTCATCATCTTCATCATCTTCATCATCTTCATCATCTTCATCATCTTCATCTTCTTCTTCTTCATCATCTTCATCTTCTTCATCATCTTCATCATCATCTTCTTCATCATCATCATCATCATCTTCTTCTTCTTCATCATCTTCTTCTTCATCATCTTCTTCATCATCTTCTTCATCATCTTCTAATTCATATTCGTCGTCTTCATCATCATCTTCTTCTTCTTCATCATCTTCTTCATCATCTTCTTCTTCTTCATCTTCTTCTTCATCATCATCTTCTTCTTCATCATCATCTTCATCTTCTTCTTCATCATCATCTTCATCTTCTTCTTCATCATCATCTTCATCATCATCTTCTTCTTCTTCATCATCATCTTCTTCTTCTTCATCATCATCTTCTAATTCATATTCGTCGTCTTCATCGTCTTCATCATCTTCATCATCATCTTCTTCTTCTTCATCATCATCTTCATCATCTTCTTCATCATCTTCTTCATCTTCTTCTTCATCATCATCTTCATCATCATCTTCTTCTTCTTCATCATCATCTTCTTCTTCATCATCATCATCATCTTCTAATTCATATTCGTCGTCTTCATCGTCTTCATCATCTTCATCATCATCTTCTTCTTCTTCATCATCATCATCTTCTAATTCATATTCGTCGTCTTCATCGTCTTCATCATCTTCATCTTCATCATCTTCTTCTTCTTCATCATCTTCTTCATCATCTTCTTCATCATCATCATCTTCTTCATCATCATCTTCTTCATCATCATCTTCTTCATCATCATCATCTTCATCATCTTCTTCTTCTTCATCATCATCATCATCTTCTTCTTCTTCTAATTCATATTCGTCTTCATCTTCGTCTTCTAATTCATTGTTGTAGTTGTTTTCTAATTCATATTCTTCTTCGACTTCAACGTTGTTGTCTAAATCGAAGTTTTCTTCAGCATAAGCAGCTAAGAATAAACTAAATAAAACAAATAAAAGAGCACGCATTTAGCTTAACAAAAATATGATTTTTAAGTTGAATTTTTGTTTTTAAATAGGGAACTATATATTTTACGTTCTTTTTTCTTCTTTCCAAAACTTTATATAACTTTTCGATAACAATTTTTTAATAACTTTGTCAGAGAATCGAAAATATGTTATTGAAATGATAATAAAAAAAGAAATCAACTATGATTTACATAATAGTTAGTATTTTGTTGTGTTGAGAGGTGAGTGATTCAGGTTCTTTAACACATTATATTTCTATTGAATTAAAGTCTTTTCAAATTTCACCAACTTATATATTCTTCATTTAAGCTGCTATTTAATTTTCATTTTGAATTTAATGAGTGTTAAAACCCTTCATTGTTTATAGTGTTATTTTATGATGGATGTATCAATAACACTTTGGCCATGGCTCGTCTATCGTCAATACTCATTTAACAATCTGTTTTTTCTTGATACCACTAACCTATGTGCAATTCAAAATTATTACTATCAAATATACTTACATGTTGTAATAAATACTACCATTATAACAAATACCTCTTTAATAATATTTCACAATATTAATAAATAGTAGTCAATTGGCTTTGAATAGGTATTGTCTCACTGAAGATAACATCATGATCAGATAATAATTGATGATTTAATACATGGAAATATTTTAGGGTTTGGTAGTGATTCTGATGTACCACTTCGGGTCTTATGATATTGAAAAGATAATAAATAAACTTATTTATAAACCAATGACTAAAAAGGGAAATTTTCAAATGAAAAGGTAAGAACTATCAAGTATTATTTGATGGAAGAAAGGATCAATAAAATTGAAAAAATTCTTCGTTTATTACAGCAAAAAGTAAAAGATAATGAAGTCAAAATTGAACAACAAGAAAGTCTTTTAACTAGTGTTGGAGAAAAAGTTGATGCACTAAATCAGTCATATAAAATTCTTGAAGTGGGAGTAAACGACTTAACTAAAAACAAAGACTTTAATGACAGAATAGATAAAATAGAATTAATTGTTCGTAAAATAAGTGAAAAAGTTAAAGGGGTTATAAATGATGGAGATAATAATGGAAACGAGGTTTTATTAAAAAGGATTGAAGGACAAAAACACATTCTTTTAACGCTTCAGGATAACTATACGATTCATGAGTCTACTATTAATCAGTTAATCTCAACTATTGAAAAAATTAATACCACAGTTATTCCAGTTTTGAGACAAACAATAATTGCTTTAAATAAAAAAATTACTGATAATAAAGGAAGTATATTAGAGTTACAGAGTAAAGTTAATGGAATTTCATCAGGTTCTTCTGTTGGTGAAATTTCTGTAGATATAGGAGAAGTTAAACAAATCAAGAATGATAATGCTGAGTTGCGAGAAACCATTAAATTAATGAAACAACAAATTGAAGCAAATAATGAGTTAATGAAAGGGTCAATTAATAAAATTAATCAAGTTACGAGTGAGGCAAGAGGAAGACCTAATTCAGAAATGTTAGAGAGAAAAGTAATTGATGAATTTAATCAACAAATAGAAAAAGAATTACAAAAGAAAGACCAAGAAATAATTTCCTTAAAAACTGCTCAAAATTCACTTAAAACTGAAATAGAAAATTTAAAAGGATTACGTAATGATATTGAAGAAATAAAACGTATAAGTAGATCTTCTTCTCCTATTTGTGGGTTAGAAGACTCTTCAAAAAAAGTTCGAGGTAATTCTATTTCTATTGCAACAACCCGTTCTACCTCAATCCAATCACTTAATGCCTCATCAAAAGAACCGAGTTGTATTAGTTCATTACCATTGTCTAAATCAAGTGGGGATTTCATAGAAGTAACACAAAAAGATATTGAAGACTATATTTCTCAATTAAATGTTTGTGAAAATATAGGAGGATATTATAGAACAATGTCAAATTGGTGTAACTTTGTTACACCTAGAGTTCTTTATTTTACTAATAGTTTTGAACGGTTTGATTTGAAAGAATTTAATCAGTCAATAGTTGGATTGGCTAATGTTATGGTAATAATTGGTAATAAGAAGAATGAAATATTTGGTACTTTTTCAGGTAAAATGATACCACAACCACCAGGAAATCCAGCAAAGAAAGATAAAGATTGTATTTTCTTAGAAGATGATCCTTCTCATTTTATTTTTAGTTTAAGTAATAGTAAAGGAGAAAGACGTAAGTTTCTTCTCCAAGGAAGTAATAGAGACACTATTGGTATTTACAATGAGAAGAGTAAAGACCACATTTTTAATTGTGCTTATTTCTTTGTATTAAAAAGAAAAGAAGGAAAGTTTTTTGATTCATTTGATAAAGCGTATGGATGTTGTGGATTTCCTATATGTGAGTCTAAGTCATTTAAACCATCTTATATTGTCGCTATTCAATGGAGTAAATAAAGATTAAGTTAAATTCATTTTTATCTTATAATATATTTCTCTTAAAAAAAGAACTGGTCAAGTATTTTAATAAGTTAAACAGTTACAATTAATTCAAATAAAAATTAATGGTTTCTAATGGTATTTCTTGTAAATAATCTGTACCATAACAAAGTAACATTTTATTTAAGGAAGAACTGTAATAAATTTTTTTGATTGGTTCAGAAGGGTATTTAAACATTCCTATAAAAGACAAATCGTAATTAAATTGTTGAATTCTATTATCACTATCTAATACATAAATATCATTTTTTTTATGATTAACTGCAACACTTATTGGAAAGAAGAAATGACCTCTTCTATCACAATCGTCATACTTACCTTTTACTTTATATGTTTCATCGTCTACATTAAATAAAATTAGTCTATGATTTAATGAATCAAGAATAACAAGTTCTGTTTTAGATTCTGTTTCAATAATATCAAGATCAACAATATGAAATTCTCCAATATTCTTTTTTTGTACAATAATTTTTGGTTGTCCATTTATTGGAAATCCTTGAACTATATCATATTTGGAATCAGCAACATAAACAGTTTGTTTATTATTACTTATTGCTACAGCAGATGGTTTAAGTAAACATCCATTTAATAATGGTCCACTCCGTCCAAGTGTTTTAATATGATTTCCTACACTATTAAAAAGTTGAACATTATAATTTAATGTGTCTGTTACTGCAATAATTTCTTTTCCATCAACTACACAAGAAGTAACTCCAATAGGAAGTTTAAATTGTCCATTATTCTTTCCAAATCCACCAGCAACAGCAATATTATTTCCGTCAAAGATTTTAATATTATGATTGTTGCGATCTGAGATGACATATGCACCTGATTGTAATGTACACATAGAACTAATACAACACACATTTCTATCTTTATTTGAACAACACACTTTCTTTGGTACTTCAATTACATGAAATGTTAATGGACTAGCACCTATCTCTACTTTATGTACATAAACTCTTAAACAAACATCACCTTTAGACTCTCCTTTTATTGTTATCCTAATTCTTCCTTTTCCTACTTCTTTAATAAAAGCAGAAGCTTCTCCTCCATTTTCTGCTATTTCATCAGCAAGGTCATGGTTTATTTCTTTTAAATAATCAGTAGAACCTGGTAAAATATGTAAAATTGGTACAAGTGTAAGAGCAATATCACTTGTTAATGTTGGTTTTTCATAAACATCATAGAAATAAAGGTCAATATCAATAGTTCCTTTTAAAGGAATTAAATTTGTTGTTGTTTTAATCGTAGAGAGTGAAGGACAAATAGGAGATTTAATTCTAAATTCGTTTGCTAATTCATTAACTATCTTACCAACATTTGTTAATGGCTTTCCTCCTTTTTTTAATTCATTTAGTTTTTGAGAAATTAATTGTTTTATTTGAGTAGAAGAAGTAGTTAATTGAGCATCAATCATTGGTTGTTGACTAAAGTAGAATGAGTCATAAATTTCTGTTGCACGACGAACATTTTGAGAAAGGGTATATACTCTTTTATTAATATTAAATTGATCATGAGTATAAAATTTTGATAAATGATCCAAGTATTTACCCACATCATCACCTGAATGGTCTAACATATAACATTCTGGACATAATATCTCATTACACGTATAACAATAATATGTTTTAGTTAAATGATGTTTTAAACAATATTTTCCTTCATTAAACACTTCAAATTTATGTGTTGGATTTGCTTTAATATGTTGTTCTATATGATTTTCACAATAAATAACATTACATTCATAACAATATGAAAACCCTTTTGTATAACACTCTTCTTCACAACAAATAGTCTGTTCAGCTTTATTTTGAATTAGTTTAAATACTGTAGGTAAATCATCTAAATCACAATATGGTATATGAACATACTTTTGACACATTCCACAATATATTTCACTTTCACTATCAGAATAGTCTTGTCTTGATGTTTGTGCCATTATAACTTGAAATAAACAATCTCTACAAATCATATGCATACATGGTAATAACTTTGGAAATTCAGGAATACCAAAACCAACATTACAAATACAACATACAATTTTTTCTTCTCTTTTGTTCATTCTATTAAATAAATGATAATTCAATGTTTTTAAATTAAGTTCTTTATTTTTTTCTGTTTCTTTAAATAACAAAAAGAAAAAAATAAATGAACCCTTTTTGTTTTTTTATAATTGAATTAATTTATGTTTTTCTAATGTACTATTTCATCGTTCTCTAATATCTTCTAATTCAACTTCATTTTGTTTTCTCCTTGACTTAATAAAGAAAAGAATAATTGTCCCAATCAAGAAACAACATAATAAAATAACTATTGGATTTATGAAATAATTTGATAATACTGATTGTTTAGTAGAATCTATCATAAGTTGTTTTTTTATATTTTCAAAATACTCTAAGAATTCATTGTTAGTTAATGTTTTATCATTTATTTTTTTCTCAATTTTATTAATTAAATCATTTAGTGTATTATCTTGAATACCTTTTTTGTGTAATTTATCTTTGAGATTATTTGTGACATCTTTAGCTGTAATTAATAATTTGTCTTCTTCATGTTTCTCTGGATTTTTTTGTTGTTGTTGTTTTTGATTATCTTTTTCATTTAAATGTTTTTTCCATTCTTCTTTTATTTTTCTAATTCTTTCTTTTTCTTCTTCATTTGGTCTTTTTCTCTTATTATTATCTTTTTCTTGTCTTTCTTCAATTTCATTATCATTGTCTTTTTCTTCGTTATTTTCAATGTTTTTTTGATTCAACTCTTCTTTATCCGATTTTAGTTCATTATTTAACAATTTTTCTTTTTTTTTAGTTTCTTCTTCTTCATCTTCTTTTAAGTCTTGATCTATTGTTTCTTTATTTGGGTTTCCATGAAGGAGTTCTTCATATAAACGTTGTGCCTCTTTTATTTTGGTTTCAATTTCATCTAAAGGATATAATTTTTCATCGTCAAGTAAATCTAATTCTGAATAAATAAATTCCATAAATGCTTTATCTTTTTTACATACTTTATTGTCACGATATGTCATCAGCAAAGTTTGATATTCTACCTTTTTCATAATTTGTTTTTGTACTATTTCATTGTTTGTTCTTCTTTTTCTTATTAATGAAATTAAGTCTTCTCTCTCTTTATTTACTCGTTTAATTCCACCACTAGCAACAATACTTTCAATAAAACCTTCACTCAACGAAACTACTTTTATATGTATTTTACCTTCAACTTCATACATATCAAAACAATTATCAGAATCATATTCATTCTCACTAACTGGGTATGTACATAATTCAATATATTTAGCACCTTTGGGGTCAATATCAATATTTTCTTCATTTCCATCTTCAAATTGATGATTTTTTTTGAATAATTCAATTTGTTGATCATCAATTTTAATATATAATCCAAATGGTAGAATGTCTTCTATATAAGGTAAATTACTTGCAGATGTTATTGCACCATTAATAGGATGCATCATACCAAACAATTTCATTCCTTCTAACATTTGTTTGCTACCAATCTTCGAAGAATAAGGACCAAATATATCTTTCACTTTTTCTTTTAATATTGGAGTATAACTTAACCCACCTGTAAGATAAACAAGATCATCTTGGTCTTTACTTTTCATAGAAAGTAACATTTGAGTTAATTCATGCATTTCTTCTCTTAAAAGTAGATTAAATTCATTTTGTTCAAGAATAATTTTTTGGTTCATAAATTCAGTAATTAGTTGTTCGTTAGCAGATAATTTAATTCTCATTTCATCAATACCTTTCCATAATTCTGCAAGTTGGTGTGGTGCCATACTTTTAATTTTATTAACTACTTCTTCTGTATTAACAAATTTCTTTAGTACCATTAAAAATACATTGTGATTTAATTTACGAGTATTAATATTAAAATCAACTTCATGTTGAAGAAGTTTAATTGTTTTCTTTCCTTTAATAATAAATTTAGTTGCACGACAATATGAAGCACCAAATTCAATGACAATAATTGGTTTATTTGTTGGATTAATAATTTCATTATTTTCAGTGGAGTAGTATGCAAGTGCATGAATAACATGATTGGAAACAAAGAGTGTTGTTTCTTTCAACTTTTTAATTAATTTATTTTCAACTGGTTCAAAATTATTATTTGTGTCTTCTTTTAATTCATCCTCCTTTAAAGTATTAATATCATCTTCTAATTGAAATTCTTCTTCTTGGGTATCTTCTAATTGAAATTCTTCTTCTTGGGTATCTGCTTTTGATTTTTTTAAACCTTTAACTCTTTTTTTATTCTTCTTTTTATTCGTCTTTACTGTATTTTTCTTTTTTGTTTCTTTTTTTCGTTGAATAAATTTATCATCATCTAATTGAGAAACTTCATTTTGTAATTCTTGAATTTCTCCATCAATATCTTTCACATCTTCTTTTGGTATATCATCACCAACAACAGCATCTTGTTGGTCATCTATTTCAGTTGTAAGTGCAGTCATACTATTATATAATATGTCAAGTTGTTTATTGTTGAAAAAACTTGGAATGCTAAAGACAGATGGATAATCAGTTTTGATATTTCCTTCTTTAATATCTATGTGATCAATTAATTCATCAATATAAGCTGATATAAGAAATCCATATGATGCAGTAATTCCTCCAATTTTTATTTTTAATGGATCATCTTCCAACACACTTAACCCATCTCCATCTCTAAATATCCATTCAAATCTTTTTGATTTATGTTGTTCATTTAACTTTTGTGTAATAGAATTTATAAGCATTGGATATTTTATTGATACATATCCTTTATTTCCCATAACTCTTTCCCCATTTTCACCAAATTGAATATCACCTTGGTCATTTAATGCAATGACAGAAGGGATTTCTTGTTTACCTTGTTTTGATTCAATAACACGAAAATTATTTCTTACCTCCCCATAAATACCCATTTTTGTCTTTTCACCTCCAATGTCAATAATCATATTTGTTTGTGCTAAACAAACAGAAATGAAGAATAGTATTATATTGAGCTGTACCATATCCAAAAACTTTAATTTCTTTTTTTTTTGTTTTTTTTTTCGTTGAATTTTTTAATTGCATCATTTTTTTAAAAAAGAACTTTTAACTATTTTTATTAGTTTTTTCATTATTTTTTTTTTAATTTTCTCGAACTACCAAACCAAAGAGTCAAATCAGTTTGTTCTTGTTTCTATCATTTTTTTGTTTTTATTACAACAACTCAAAACCAGTGCAATTTCCTCGTCAATCAGTTTTTTCTAATGGATTAAGACAAAGCCAACTCAGAAGAACTCGTTCATATGCTTCTTTAGAACCATTTTTACCTAATCGAAGAATACAAGAACCTCGAAATAATTTCAATTGCTCATATGAAAATTGTGTAATTATTATATCTGCACGATTATATGAAATTAATCAAATTTATGCTACACTACTTCAATATGGTAATGTTGTGGCTATAACTAATTGGAATAATAAAGGTGTTCGAGTAGATTTCCAAAAAAAAGAAAGTGCTGATAACTTTGCTAAAAACCGATTCATCTCGTCAAATGGAAATAAGTACGTTATTTGCAAAGTATCACCTTCATATGAACCAATAAATCCATCTTCAGATGACCAAGTCACTATTGAACAACGACAAAGTTTATTACAGTCAATATTTAAACCACTAATCAATTTCTTTTCTGATATATTTTTTAAAATCTGGAATTGGCAAACTGAGTAAGTGGTTCATCTGAATTGGTTATTATATCATTAATTAAATCTTGATTGGATTGAATCTTTTTTGTCTTTAATTAATAACCAGTTTAATCTTTCTTTAAATTTAAAAAGAATGTTAATAAGTAAAAATCATGTATTATTAAACTAATTATGCAAACTGAATTGGTGCATTTTTTCCAATATAACTCTTAGGATCTTCAGAAGAATGTCTACTAAAGAATTTCTTATTTAAATATCCACTAGACTCTTCATCCAATCCTGGACCAACTTTAGATAACCATTGCATTCTTTTTTTATACCAATCTTTTCCTCCATTAAACACTCCATCAATTCCATTCATTTTTAATCCAACGTTGGAATATAAATCACTATTTTCTTTCCTTTTCATCATGCCATAAAAACTTTTAATATTAAATGGTTTATCAGCAGCAGCCATAAATGTACGGAAATTTTGTAAGTCTTCTTTTTCAGTATCTGTTAATTCTTTTACATAACGTGAATATGGATCTTTCTTAATAAACTGAACAAATTTTCTTCTGTAATTATCTTGTTCTTTCATATTATTTATTTTTAATTTACTCATTTCCATTTCTCCTTTATTTTTCATATTTCTTTGAAAATTATCAGCCATCTCTTGTGTTCTTTGTTGCAAATAACTTGTTATTTGGTCAGCATCTTGTTTTTCCATCATTTTCCTATATTGCATTGCTTCAGTTGTTGTTGGATGAATTCCAGTTGGTTGCACTGCTGTTTGTCTATATTGTTGGTTAGAGTCTTGAGAACTTACCAAAACTGTGAATAACATAAAAACAATCATCTTTTTGTTTTAATAATATAGTTAATTAATAGTTTCATTTTAAGTTCTTTTATGATTTTTAATAATTTTTATTTTTACAAAAGATTGAAATTTGTGTTTTGTCGTTAAAAAAAGAAAAAGAATAAAAAAAAAACAAGAGATAATGAATAAAAAAAATGAAGGGTATTAAATAAGAAATGAGAATGAAGAAAATGAAATAAAATGTGGGTGATGATAATGGTGAATAGAAATAATGAAGGTAACCAAAGAAATAAAGAAGATATTATTGAATACTATGAAGTGAAGAAATGAGGAAGAGAAAGAGAGAAAGAGAAAAAAGAAGAAGTTATAAATAAAGAATAAGATAGATAAAAGAAGTTAAATAAATATCAAGACAAGAAAAATAAAGAAGATACGTTTTACAGAAGAAATAAAATTGCGAAATGAAAGAATGTTATAAAAAGTAAAAATGAAATGATTAGAATAATGAAGTAATATATAGAAGAAACAGTAAATGAGATAGGAGAAATAAATAATTCAAAAAGAAAAAGGAATATAAAAATAGATGTTATAAGTTGTCAGAATAGAATAAAAGAAAAATACAAAATTAAATGATAAATATATAGATTCAAAATAATGTAAAGGTTATATAAATTACATTGGTTAAAATTAAAATATATGTGGTTGTTAAAGTAAATAAATTGAAGAAATAATAATAATGAGAATCAAATGTATTAAAAGATTTAAGATACAAAGGAATAATTTTGTATAAATTATGAATAATCACAATAAAAGAAATTTTAATGATTTATAAGTATGTAAAATTATAAAATAAAAACAATAAATATTAAACAACTAAAGAAGAAATTAACATAATGTAATGAGTATCAAACAACAAATAAAATATAAATTGATATAGCATTATAAAGAAAATGAACATAGAATAACATTTAATAATATTGAATAAAGTATAAATAATAATAAATTTCAAAGAGTATGATTGAATTAATGATTGATATAGTATAAATATAATATAATAATAATGAAGTAGAAAAAATATGTATTTAAAAAAAAATAAAGTTTAGAAAAAAATAAGAGATAATAAAATGTGATTGGGATATTCAAATGATGTTTTATAAATGATGAAAATAAATAATTAAGTAATGAATTAGTAAATAAAAGAAATTGAGCTGAAAATAAAATAAAGAATAGTAATGTTAATATGGAATATCTTTATATTACAACAAAAGATATTCATTCAAATAAGATATAAATATTATGAAATTAATCCTACAAAATAAAGAAAATTAAAACAAGATTAATTAATAGTCATTATTTATAAAATAAATAGATTATTTTCATTTCATTTATATTATATATTACTTAAACAAAAGAAGAATTAAATTATTTAAATGTTGGTTATTGAATGGAAATGAGATGGAAATTGATGATGAATATGGTAAATAAGAGATTATGTCATCATTCAAAACTTTTCAACATTTGAGTAGTATAAATTATGGATAATACAAGTAAATGCTCCAAAGAACTTGTCTAAAATAAATACTTTGGTATTACTGTCATTTGTATTGAATATCCTCCGTATTGATACTCAACTTTCTTCACTCTTATTTAGCATTTTCTTCCATTCTTCCTTTAAATCATCACATCACCACATAATATCAAATCAATACAAAAAATAAGAAATAAACTCAGATATAATCAAACTTAAATATTAAAACACAAATAACAATCAATAATAAAATCTGAAACAAAAATAAAAAATAAAGTAATATAAAAATAGAATAATTAACATACAAACAATGAAATTTGAATGATAATAATATTAAATGGTTTAATTGAATAAAAAATAAATAATAATCAAACTGAGAATAAATAATTTAAGAATTTGTTTATAGAATTAAAAGTATAAAAATAAATATAGAATGAATAATAAGAATATAAAGATATGGACAGTAAAAATAAATAATGATAATTATTTATGTATTTAAGTCTTTTATTTTAAAAGTCATGATACTAAATTTGTTAGTTATTTCTTCTTTATGATTAGTATTATCTATTTTTTTCTTGAAGTGTTTTCTTCTTATTTTATTGTTTATTTTTTCTTCATCATTATATATTTATTGTTTATAATTTTATTTTGTTTCTTATGTTTTTTCTTATTATTTTGTTTATTGTTTTTTACATCTTTTTGTTTTTATTTGATATTTTCTGATTATTTCATTATCTTAATGTTTATTTATTTCTTATTATCTTTATACTTCTTTTCTTTGTTTCTTTTCTTTTTATTGAAATGTTTTGTTATTATATTTTTCATTTATACATTACTTACTCATAATGTATAGGTTCTTTTATTTATTATCTCAAATATTTATTACTTCATATGTTATATTTAACAACATCCAGTGTTATTCAATAATAATATAAACAAATTTGATGAATAGATTGTTAATATTATACATTTAAATAGAGTAATCGTTTATTTTATTTTTCTCTTTTTTTATTCATTTCAATTTATTTATTTTCATTATTCTTAGATTAACAATCTATTTGATATAAATATTCTTATTATATAATATTTCATATATTTTTATTGTTAATGATTGTTCTAACAATTTTATGAATAATAATCTTTTATTTTCATATAGTAATATTCAAATATATCAATTCCATTAAATAATTAATAAAATCAATAAATTTAATATATTCAAACATTTAGATTTTTAAAAACCAAATAACTTTTATTTTTCTATTTGTTATTATATTATTATTATATTATTATAATATTTTCTTTTATTTTCTCTTGATGTTTATTTTATCTAATATAAATATATAATAATAAAAGGAATAACAGAAAAATAGAGTATTAAATTAAATTTATAATTTGAATAAATACAAATCAAATATAAATAGATAGAAATAATTACAATAACTATATTATTTGTTCTTGTTTCTTTTCATCATTTCTTCTTTTATATTCATTTTAAAA